TGTGGAAGTGGTATGTCTTTAGCTTTTTGCTCAGTCCCGCACTCATTTTGTTGTTTGTCTCTTTAACTTAATTTGAGTTTTCCCTGCACTCTTTTTTTTAATGAATGACTCGCGATCTAATCGACCGCGGTCGACGTACTGGGCACCTCTGGTGTACAGGCTAAAGACACAAACATGGACATAACAATAACATATAGGAGATGACATTCCCATCTCAAACAAAAACAGAAGAAACAAAGATACAGTCAGTAGGACCAATTCAACATTTCACAAACAAAAATAGGTTGATAACCAAATACCACCAAAAACACAACATGGCAAGCATATTTCCCATTTCATGGCTTGTTGAGCCACCCTTTGATTTTTTTGTGGCAATAATTTTTTCCAAAAGAGATTGTATTTATAATTCACTCTTCAAACACCTTAAATTAAGATTACTCCTTGATTGACTTTTAAAATATGTATTTTAGCCAGAAGAATAGTTGTATTTATTAACTGTGTGCGTTCTTCATCTAAAAGCCCAAATACAATTTTAAAGGGTGTAAATTCAATATTTGCTGCCAAATAATTTTGCAAAACACTATAATATGTGTGGAAAGATTTTTGTTATTAAGTATTTTTTTTATTTTAACCGCTTTTCCTTTCTCTTTCTCGATCCTACTTAGCAACGGTCATTACAGTCCTTGACAGCGGTCTGTTCTACTGGATTTACAACATGTCACATGTTCTGAATTGACCAATCATAACTTTATGTAGCCTCTGTATTCTTTATGGTTGAATGTGGGCCGCTGCTCTAAGGGGATACGTTGGTGACTATGGGCAGCCAAATAACATTGACTTTATCCTTGATTGAATGTCTCTAGGTTTTGAAATTGATATTTTTGGAAGCCAATGGAATATTAGTAGTACCCAATTCAACAAATATATTGCCAAGTTCTTGTCATTTAAGACATTTTATTGTGGACATTTTAAATATTAAACCTTCAAAAGACAAATTAGAATTTGTGACCCCTGAACAAACATCAAAATGTTTCTTTTGTTCCCATAGCAGTCCTCCAATCGTTCTGGAGAACACTTCCAATGTTCACACTGCAGGTACTAATACCCAAACTGACCCAGCTCTGAGTCCTCCTGCTGCTCATGGCACAGAGCATCTGGAGACCAACACGTCGCACGAGCTGGAAGAGCAGGTGAGGCTCTCAGATAACACGTGAACTAGTTTCCTTTTGTCTACCTAGAGAGGTGACCCAGTGCTAATTGTTCTCATTATCTTTGACAGGATCCCAGCCCCCCTGCCATCACAGGCACAGATAGCAGCGCGAGCAGCAAAGACCCCGAGGACATCCCCACCTTTGATGAGTGGTCGCGCAAGATGATGGAGGTGGAGAATGGAAAGAGTAAGATTACAAAGTGTGAGGATCCAGGATTCCTGTGTGTGGGTACTGGATTTAAAAAAAAAAACTTTTGTTATGTTTTCCTCTAAATAGCTCGGTCTACTCATACTTCTAACAATGGGGCTCCTCCTGTGGTGAAGAAAGTCCAGAAGAACTTCAATAACTACGCCTCAGTGGAGTGTGGAGCTAAGATCCTTGGCTCTAACCCAGAAGCAAAGGTACTGTGTGTGTATAAAGGAAATAGGGTCAGCAGGAAATCCGGTTATGTGTCCTGATTAAAGAACACGGAAACATACTTTTCAAGTTATGGTGATTTATATAGGATGTCGTTTGAACAATGATACAATAAGGGAAGTAAATGCAAGAAATTACAATTCAATAATTTTACACAACTATGTAAATATATAGATAGATAGATGTAATTACAAAGTTACAATGAACTGGTAGCATACTGCTCTCCATTCGGTTTACAAGCCATTGCTAACAGATATATGAAAGGTTACCAAACAATCACTAGGACTTTACAGGATTACAGAGTAGTGCAGAGATGAAAGATTTTTGTAGGCCGACCCGGAAGTGAGCATCACAAGGGCTCCCACGACAAAAAATAAATCAGATTTTTCAATAGGATTTCGGTATATTGCAGAAAAAAAGATATCTGTCAAAAGCAAGTATGATACTTACACGTTTTGGACATTTGGATAATCTGCACATATTAACACCACTTGATGATTTATGATATTTACAGGTTCAAACCCCACTGCAGTCAGCATGTCGTTGTGTGCCTGGGCAAGATACTTCACCCCAAAATGCACAGTACACAGTATTGAGTATGTAAGTCGCTTTGGATAAAAGCGTCTAACAAGTGACATGTAATGTAATGTGACTTCACCCAGGCTAAGCTAAAAGGCGGCTAATGTTAGGTACAGTAGTCTCATTTAGTCACTTGTTAGCAACCACTGTTTTTACCATGCATAGAAGCTTCGGACTATTGTGGGGTTTCTTTATTTAACTACAGATATTATGTAAGACATCTGTCTATAAAACATTGACTTCGAAAGGGGGAGGGTAGCCAGGGTGTCCGCGGGGTCTTGAAAAGTTATTAAAAGTTGATAAATCAATTTAGCGAAAATTAAGGCTATTAAAAAGTATTAAACTGCATTTTCCAAGGTATTACATTTTGTAGCTTGTTTTAAATAAGTATATAAATTGTCCAAAGAGGTTGTATTCTAAAGTGTGCCTGAATGTAATCATTGCGTAGGTGTGTAGTGTGATTCTGTGTAGTTTATTCATGGCATCCCGTTGGATTTGACGTCATCTGAACAGGACATCGCACGCTCACTGCTTGATAGCGCGCGAAGGTCCGTTTACGCCGGTTGCTAAACAACATCGTTATGGGGAAATGCAAGTTTGCGTCCAAATGGTTGGAAGATAAGGAGGAAGGACAATCAATACTGTATAGTAAATGTGAGGTAAAGTGTGTCGCCAATGTAACCGGTTAAAACTCAAAGTGGCGATGAGGTCTTAAAATGT